TAAATTATAAATTGTATTATAAACAGGAAAAAGAATTTAATTTATCCTGTTTGTACTATCAATTATTTCAAACTGTTAAAAACTATGTTTTTTAATATTTTGTTATTAGGGGTAATTTTTTAAGGGTTGAAATATATAAATTATTTATAATACCATAAACTATTGAAAAGATTTTTATCTATAATGTATGCACTATAAAAGTATTTTATGGTCAAAGAAACTATTAATTTTATATTTTTATCATTAAGGGTGGTTTTTAAGAGTTGAAACTTTATAAAAATAACGTAAATTATAACCCACAATATAACACAATATTTATTCTATATATTAATATCTGATTTTAGTTTATATAACACTTATTTTTATATTTATTCAGTTTTTTACCATAAGGAGTCGTTTTCATCCCCTAAAAATAAGAAGCGCATATCAAGTATATATAACTTTTCATTTACGGGGTGAAATAAGCTTAATTCCAAATTTTCATAAAAATCGGATCTATCTGAAAGTATTCGGAGGTTTTACCCTATTTTTCACTTCGTTCCTTGAACTAATAGTTTTGTATATAAATGGAATTCTGATTTTTGCATTAAAAGGTAGACTTTTTTTACCACTTTTTTTACCACTTTTTTTTTTATAAACATTTAGATTATCTCCAAAACTATGCATAATATTTAATTACAAGTGCGATTGTAGAGATGTTTTAAAATCTTATGAGCTTTGACCTTCATATGCGCAGAAACATAATTCCGACCGTCGCCTAAATTATTCTACGTCCTAAAAACATTACACCTATTATTCACAGACTTTCTCGAGCTCTGGCGTAAACAAGGATTTGATCCGATTACAAATAGCATAATAAAATGCTCTATTCTTTATCATTTTAATTTAAACAATAAAAATATATATAACGAACGTTCGCCAGTTGACTTTATTGATGCCCGAGCGCCTTAATTCATTTCTAGTTGTAATGAGGCACGTGGTCTAATTCTGAGTCAATGTTTTCACAACGTGCTTATTAGAAGAATTATGAGGATACGCCACGCCTTTCGCGCATTTCGCGGCTCATGAGATATTAAAAGATCTCTACAGCCAATTAAAAAAATCTAAATGTTTGTAAAAAAAAGTGGTAAAAAAGACAAAAATGGCGCAAAATTCAAATCTAGCATGAATTTTGAAACTCCCGATGTGAACCCAAGCAATAATTAATTAAAGTTCGTAACTAAAACTATTAGACTAATTTGTTCCTTTTGTAAATGCATCTAATGATATTTACTTGGATATTTTTTATGGAGAATCGTCTTATTAACAACGTCTACTTAATATACAAAGACACAATCAATAGTAGATGTATAATTGATGGAAATATTATAGATCTAATGATACCAAGATGTCTGAGGTCACACAATCATCTATTATTCAAAGCTCAATATTACTCTGACGTCCAAATGTCAATTATCGTCTAATTTGGATAGGTGACTTTTTTATTTGACCTATTATAATATTTACGTCTTTTCACTTTTCCGCAGAAACGTTACTGAAACAGGAATATCAGATGGTGTAGAAATATTTTAATTTGTTTCCCAATTGCCGAAAAGAAAGTTAACTGGAACGGAAAAGTTTGATTTGTTCTAATAACTAATGAAAAATATACAATTTTTAGTAAACAGGTTCCGCAAAGCAGCATTTGTGCTTCGCGAAAGAACAACGCGCTTTGATGGTTGAGCAATATTTTAAAAATAATGAAGCAGAGCGAAGAAAGTTTGTTGGAATGATTATGGAGCAACAAATGGATGCTGATTTTTCGAACAAAATCATCTTCAGCGATGAGGCTCATTTTTATCTTGATGGCTTGGTTAATCGCCAAAATTGTCTTATTTGGGGTTCAGAAAATCCACGAATGATTGTTGAGAAACAGATGCACCCACAACGTGTCACTGTTTGGCACCGATTTTAACCTAAAGCTTTTTCTGTTTTAATAAATACTGACTTAGATACTAGTATTGTATTTAAAACTGCATTAAAAAAAGTATATACATAGCTATGTGACGTCATAGTTTAGAAAAAAATATGTATAATTTAAGCTCAAAACTTAATTTCGACTGTCCACCTTGTCCTTTTTTTGCAACATCAATCTGACCGGACAGATTCGTACTAGCAAAATTTGAAACAAAGAAATAAGCGGAAGCCTTTGTTACTGACGAGCCAATACAGTTCCTCTTGGGGGGTCATTATTTCATTTATGCCCTAGCAAACGGCTTAAAGAGTCAGTCACCCCAATCTTGATCCGACAGGAGAACTGCTTAGCACTGAACAGAAACGACCTTCGGCAGTTATACCTATATGAATATTAATTGACTCCTGACTGCCTTAGTGCAAAATTGTTCACATTAAGCCGATGATTTAGATTGCACAAATTGTATATTCCAGCTTGTTTAAAAAATATAATTGACGTAAGTGGACTGAGCTAAAAAGTGGAAAGTTTAATAACTTAATTGTCCCATCTGTAATTGTCACCACGAGTCTGACGTTCGTAAATTTTTTTATTGGTAGTGCATTTTGATGCTTGAACTATAACTTCTAACATAAACAACTGCGAATAGTTCTGCGTATAATACTGTGAACTCGATTATTTAATTATTATTTTATAATAAATGGTTGTGAATCATATGCACTGGAGTGACATTATACAGGGTGTTCCCGTTTTAAACGTAAATCTAACTTTACGAAGTCAGTGTTTTGAAAGTTTTATTAGAAATATTTAAGAAACAGCAGAAACTAACGAAACCAAATTGTGGCGACATAATGTCCTTTGAAAATGACCCACAAACGATGACTTACAACCGCCAGTGGCATGGTATACAAAATTCTTACACATTTTTACATTTCATGACATTTTTAGAGTCCTTCTGTTCGACACATAACTGGCATCTGCGCAATAATGACCTTGAGTTAGATAAATGCACTGCCGTGATAGATTGTGCAATATTGTGATTACATTATATTAGTTCCTACCTTGGAAAAGAGTATTCCTGCTCTCTCATATGACCCCGTTCAAAATAATCAAGGGGATTAATGTCAGGTGACCGTTGAGGTCATTATACAGGACCTCCTTTGTCTATGGATTTTGCTTACAGTGAGATAATGGTGCAGACAGTGATTTATTTGTTAGTTACTAATATTTAATCATCACCAAACAAGTATAGATACAAGAAAAAATTGTTAGTATACTTTATTGCGCTTTATGAAAATCTAGACGACCTATAGGAAAATTAGTTATTTTATGTTGTAGGCAAATAAATTACCTACAACCTAGAGTCATTTTTCACTACTTTGTTAATTGTAAAATGAAGATCGAACGCGGAAAAATCTAAAATTTTCGAAAATTGTGCATTATTATTGCAAAAAACGGTGAATATTGATGAAATTTATAGAAAAGACGGTCAATCCAATGACCAATATGTGTGCCAAAGACCGATTCCATTTACCTTGAAATTGTTGCTCCAGCTATTTATTAATTAATTTCGTTCATTTTTTTGCAACTAGTTGTTTAATTACTAAACGTTAATTTTGGAAGTTGATATCGTTGACATAGGTTCTAATTGAAACAAAGAAACGTATCGAAAAAGAAAAATTTCAAAAAGTTGAAATTAAGTAGCTCTACGGTAATTTAAAAACAATAAAAGTGAAATCGCCTACTCCTCTTTGTTCGCGAGATAACTTTTTTTATAACTAATTGTTAATGAACTATTGGACGTATCGGACCGGGATTTTAGAGACAATTAAAGAAAGGGTTAAAATTTTATTTCTAGAAAGTTTTACATTGACAGTTCATGTTCTTTGGTCGGGCGGCAGATGTTTTAACCGAATTTGAAACGTTCAAGTCACAAATCTCTATAATTTTATGACAATTTTGCAAGGAACAGCTTTTCGTTTGAAATTGATCAAACTGTAGTATTAAAATACATTATAGGTAGTTCAGTGGGGTCTCCATGTTAGCCTATTTTTTTGTTTTACGTGCCTGTGTTATTTAAATTGGACATTTGTATCAAAACAACATGATGAGTTAAAAGCATCATTTTCGTAATCAATTACTTATTCAAATAAGGAATAAATAAATTCATACGTTTTTTTTTGTTTCTCCTTCTGACTTGTTTGTTACCAACATTATAAAGATACAAAAAAAAACGTACTTATATAAAAAAATATCTTTCTTCTCAGTATATTGAACTTGTTTTTTAAGCAAATGTTTTTATTCCTAAACCTCAATTAAAATAATGTCATCAATTTTTTTGTGATATTCCTTTACGTTCTCCTTACTCATATGCAGGGTGATTCAGAACTTATCTAAAAAAAAAGTTCTGGATGTACAGGGGACCCTTACAAACACAATTTTGTAAATAAAAAATCAAAAAGGGCAGTTCGAAACAAAATTTTATCCACGAACGTGTAAACACATTTGGATCCGTCTTACTCAGTTTCTACGAACTAACACAAACGTTGTCATGCTTCACCACAAATTAAAACGATATCCATCAACTCCGAGTTGCTATATACGCAAACCATTTTTGACACTAACTACTAAAAAAGTATTGTAAATACCACAGATAACAGGTAAACGCTATCGCAACGACGATTGCAAAATCGGATTTCAGTATTCGGAGGCGCTCAGGCCACGTGGCTCTCCACGCATATTGTGAATGACGCTAGAGACTACAATTGTCCAGCTATGTAGTGGTTGAATGTACTATAACTTCAATAATTTTTTTCTCGGCAACTATAAGGATTTTACAAAAATTTTCTTTAACGATATTGACTCCATTTCTCATGCCGCATCTATTCCCAATTTTTTTTTGGATAAGTTGTGAATCACCCTGTACGTGGTTTTCAAAATTTTATCACTCCCTGCATATAGTTCGTATTTAGTTAGTTCCTTCCGTGAATTGCCAACGACATATCGGTGTTCACAAAGCACTTTTTTAAGTCATTTCTTTTCTTTCTAGCATCATGACTCTTGTCCAGCCAGGTCCAGAATTGCAGATTACCATCAGGAAAGAACTGAATGAAGATGTTAACACCAGAGATAGCGACCTGCAGCATATCAAAGAATGGCTACTTAAACAACCTCATCTACCTGACACTTGGGGTAAGTATAGGAGCTAAAAAACGAGCAGAATCTAAAGCGTTTACAATATTTTATTTACCAAACATTTCAAATTTAAACGCGAGGTCTCGTTAAATTTTTTAAATTGTTAAAACCCACGCTGCCCCAAACCGATAAATTATCATCAGTGAAAAATAAACGTTGCCAGGAGTATAATTTATTTCTAATAGTTGATGCAGTTAACCAGTCGTTTTTTCTATAATTATTATCGTTTAATCCCCTATTTTGTTTTTCTCCCACTGCAACTAAAGACGGCAAAGAAGCTGTTGGTCTCGAATTCTGTTTAATTATGAATTTTTCATCGTAATTGAGAGTACTAAATCCTCTTAATAATAAATAATCTACAATGCCAATGCAAAAAAAACTGAGGTTATATTCGTTTTCCGCACTTATTTTATTTTAATAAAGTTAAGTACATACCAGAGTAAAATGTAAAATGACTGTTTTACTAATTAATTATGATGGTCACACAAAAATTCTTAATAAAAACTTCACATAAACACCAGTTAAAAACAAAAACGCGCGTACTCACAGACGACCAATGTTTTTATTATGAAATGTAACATTGCCACATACAACTGCGATCGCCAAGGTGGTAGAGAAGAAGGGCTATATGGAAAAATTCGCTTGTTAAAAAGAGTTGGAAGGTGGCAACAAGCCACCGTGCTCGACTGGTTAAAGCTCGAATGTGGATATCGTGGCATTCTTTCAAGGTAGGATAGCATATAGAACACTGATAAAGGCTGGAGGCTTGAGAAAGTTAGCTGCCAGCGACTATAATGCGAATTCGGGAGGCGCGAAAAATAGTGAACATTTTACTCGAGATCTCCCTTAGTAGGTACTTAAGGAGTTACATATGAAATTTAAGCAAGTTAGAAACAATATCTCTTCACTATACAGGAAATGTTCGGAAATTGACCAGTTTCTATTCCTTACTATACAGCGTGGACAAAAACAAATAGGCCCTACTGATGTAGCTTCCTTGAATGAAAATAAGCCGATTTAAATCAAGTTGTTTAATATAAATCCACTTCCTTAAAAAGCTATCGGCCTTTTAAGGAAGCAATTTGGTCTAAATATCTTTATTTATGGGTTATTCGTTTCTGGACACCTTGCATATTAAGGAACAGAAGCTGTATGACATTGTGGAAGTGAATTTTTTCAAGAACACTGCATTCTTAGCGATTTAATTTTTTTTGTAAAATAAAATGTTGCATTATAATATACAGGGTGTATCCTAAGTCTATGTCATATATTAAGAGTGTGATCCCTTGGGGCATTTTAGGCTTTAGCAAAATTTTAGCAAAAGCTTTAATAAACCAGATCCCTAAAGTTTCCAAGACAGAGGGCGTTACATTTTTTGAAAAATATCACATTTTTTTAATTATCTCTGAAGTGTATGACGTAGATTGACGAAACTTGGGGAATTGATATAACTAATTAAAGGTAATAATTCGGTATATTTCTATATAGATCTGTCAACCAGTGACGGAGATTCAGGGGAGTCATTAAAACCTTCAGAAAAACTACGCCACTGGATTTTCAGAAAAACTAATAACAGAAAATTTAATGCCATACCTGTTCCAAATTTTGTTACTTTTACATTGTTTTTTGGTAAAGATTATTGTACTTTTTGTCAAAACACCCTGTATAAGTGTAAAAAAATCTTACACTCGTGAAATACAATTATAAACTAAAGCAAAAAACATGAAAGAATTAAAAAACCTGGATTAGAAGCTACGATATAAAACAAGTTTTTCAGTAGTTCTAGTTTATAATAGCGATGATCAAATTCTTCTTTTTCAAAATTTTTTTTTGCTAAATAATTCCACAACAAATAATTATTGGCATTAATTTTATTACTAGATATAAATAATATTACTATTACTTTCCTATAAACAGTATTATAGATTATAAAATGTCAGTCATTATATGAAAATTCTGCCAATCTTAGATCTTTATTTTTCCATTATCCATTGCCGAAATTTTTTACAGAATCGAATTATTCTGCAGTCGACAAACGTTGCGGTTTTGTAGAAAAGTAGCACCAGAGCATACAGATAGTTTATTGTTAGACTGTGAATGTGAACATTACAGAAAACTATTACCTTTCCTAATATAAAGCTAAATCTAAGAAAACATCAAAATGGGTTAAACGTAGGTCTTACAAGAATGCTCTCTAATATCATGATCATTATCGTGGTGATATCGTGATTGGTCTAAATCTTCTATTACTTACTCACGTGCATATCGTAATAATATGTGAACTTTCAGATGAACATCGCACGATGACCTTCTTGCGAGGCTGCAAATTCTCTTTGGAGAAGTGTAAGAGGAAGTTGGATATGTACTTCACCATGAGAGCGGCAGTGCCTGAATTTTTCTCCAATAGAGACATCAACAGACCAGAGCTGCAACAGATCCTTGAGCTGGGGTAAGTTCCTTGCAACTAGATTTGATAGTTCTTTCATTTAATTGTTCTTGAAAACATGTTTATATTTGTATTTGGTTTTGTTCCGATCAAATCTACTGTTTCTTAATCTCTTGACCACTTGCAAACTTCAGAACACCACGATTTGCAGCTCTTGTTAAGAAACGAACTCCACCAGACAACCTCTGTACCAATCTTTATCCTTCTAGGACCATACCACCATTGCCAGGTCTAACCCCTGAAGGAAGACGAGTGGTCGTCCTTAGAGGGAAAGTCAAAGAGGTGGACACCCCAAACATAGCCGATATCATGAAGGTGGTCCTCATGATCGGCGACATTCGTTTAGACGCTGAAGAGACGGGCGTCGCTGGAGACGTCTACATACTGGACGCCAGTGTCGCCACTACCAACCACTTCGCAAAAATCACCCCGGCTATAGTCAAAAAGTTCTTGGTTTGCGTACAGGTGAGGAATTATTCCACTTGTAACAACAATAATGTTACCAATACATTGAAACCAAGGAGAACATCAGTTTTTATTTTGTTTTGGTTTGGTGTTTTAGGAAGCCTACCCAGTCAAACTGAAGGAAGTCCACGTGGTCAACGTTTCTCCTCTGGTCGACACCATCATCAACTGGGTGAAGCCCTTCATCAAGGAGAAGATCAGGAACCGTATCCACGTACATTCCGATCTGGAGTCCTTGCACAAGTTCATACCAAAAGATATCTTACCAGAAGAGTACGGTGGAACCGCCGGGAAGCTACAGGACTTCCATGGTAATTGTTATTGATGTTGTGACTCCTATAACACCATAGTAGAGTATGTTGTTCTTCAATTGCTTGATTCATTTCATTTTCAGACCAGTGGATAGAGAAACTAAAGGAATACACCCCTTGGTTCAAGGAACAAGAAGAGATAAAGGCGGATGAGTCCAAACGTCCTGGAAAACCTACCAATTATGAAGACCTCTTCGGCCTCGACGGTAGTTTTAGGCAGCTGACCATAGATTAAGGGATAAGCTATCGAATAAATAGTTAATTAAATTGGTCTACTGTGCTCTGAAACGTTTGAAATAACACAATAAGACAACTAATTTTTACCGAGGTATGACTAATTGTATCTTTGTCTTTGTGCATTTTTTTCTATTTCATTATCTCCTGGGGTAGACCTCCGATCTTATAGTATATTTCTCTGTTTCTCTTCTAAGTAAATAACAAATATTATATAAAAACATTGAAATCCTTCAATTGGAAAGAAATTTTGGCTGCGGTTATATTATCACCATCCAAAGATTGTACCTATATGTTTCATATTTGAGAATAGTTGCTCAAAAATACCTAGGAATTAGGATTAATTTTTAGTTCACCATCCTTCATCTTACATTTTTTATATGAGATATATAATAAGCGTAATATTGTTAGTTCATGTTTCTCATCAACTCATTTTCATGATTAAATGCTGTTCTTTGTTAATTGCTGTGTTTTATTGTATTTTTTCTTGAAACTCTCCATTTGTTTAAGGAGAAAGAGGGAACTTGACTAAATTCCTCAAATAACCATTCACAAAAATAGTCTAATGAGTTTAAATCTGGAAAACGTGGAGACTACTCAAAAAGTCTTTTTCCTTGTCCTCAAATTTGATTTATATATTTTTTAATTGGGAATTTTGCCTGTGAAAAAATTGGAAGTTTATTGAATAAATCCATGCTACAAAACTTTATAGTAATTTTAAACAACACAGTTGAAATTACTTTGTCTAATTAATGTTTTATTTGAATTTGGAAATGAAACTAACAAAAAAATCATACAAAATAAGTAAAAAAATTATTATTTCATCCAGTAATACAGAAATAGGCAACCAGTAATACACAAGTCATGTATTGCAGTATCCGTAACTATACACAATTTTTTTTAGAGAACTAAAATTTGTTTTTATTCTATAAAACATAATTTTTAATAGTAACAATGAGCAAGATAAGAAAATTGTAAACTCACAGTCACTTACAGTTCAATTAAAACAACTTTAAAAAAAGGCTACTTGTATGCCTACATTTTTAGCATTAAAGAGCGCTGATTGACTTCATTTGATAGAATTATTTTAAGATTTTTTTAATCTTAAATTAGATGGTCTTTCAAATAAAATGTAACAAACTTTTTTCTTTAAAATGTAACATAAAATGCATTGAACATGTTTCAATTAGAAGCATCGAAATTCTGGTGTTCTTATGACAATTCCCCCGATGTTTAAACAACTGTATACAAATATTAGTATTTTTTCGTCGACCATATCAAATTTCACTGTACAAACAGAACACAGAGGCGTACAATGGGGTGTATATTATTTGCCATTTTTATTTGATTTTAAAAATGTGTATTCGAATCGTACGCCACTGTCATCAATCTTGTGACGAACTAGACTTCGAAAACTTTGTGCCGACAACCAAATAAATAAACAGTACCAATCTATATTAGAACAAGGCACCTGCCTTTAGGAATTTAAAATGGTATTTTCGGAAACATACAAACTGTTTTGCCCAGTTTTAACAATTCCTGCAACAGATGTCTCGGTAGAAAGAAACTTTTTGGGTCTTAAGCGCATTAAGACTTAGAAATACGATGACACAAGAGCACTTAAACAACTTATCAGTGATGACGATAGAAAAAGAATTATTGCAAAGTCTTACCACAGACAAAATAGCTATCGTTACCACCGAGATCCGCTATTGGAATAGGCCAGCAGTTTTAAATTTCCGAATTGCGGATAGAGTACACCACCAGCAGAATTTTAGGAAGAATCAAATGCAGCGGCCCGCATTCCTACGTGTATCCCAGTAACATATAAACAACGGTTTGATAATGTTGTCACATGTATGTACTTACGGATTTATTTTGTACACTTTTTATCAATGCCTGCTTTTTGCGTTACTGTATTGACAAAAATGTTTTAAAGAATGAACGAATAGGTACCTATGTCGTCAACTTAGACGACCTGATATTCTGCAACGGTTATTTAATCATAATTTGGTTAATTAGCTACTATTTTCATTTTTGGGTATTGAAATACCGCAGAAAATATATTTTCAAATAAACAAAATTCGTAATGATATTTTAAACAGCTTGTAATATAATTTTTTTAATATTTGATGACGATGATTTTATTTAATACACAAGGTGGGTTATTAGTACGTCGCGGAATGTAGGTACAGAATTTTTGTGTGTATTTTGACATCCACTTATAGGTTTAATATTTAAAGATAGGAAACAACTTTAAATACAAATGTACGACTTTTCCTTTATTTCTTTTCAATGATAAATCATTAAAAAAATTAAAATTCATCCTTATTGAAATAACAAACAAAGATTTTTGTAACTAACTTTTACAACAACATAAGGAGAATACCTAGAAAAGCCATAACATTAAAATACCTATAATTTTTACAAATTTTCAACATGCAAGTAATTGTGATGATACAGTTGAAAAATATGTCTAAAGGACTGAGATCGTAGCTGTTTTCTGGGCACCTAAGGTTTCTAATAATATTTAATACAGTGTTCGTCGAGGGAATTCGTCCTCCAAAATAAATTTTGCGATATTCCTGAAAAACTTTTGCACATTATTGTTATTTGAATAATACAGTTTAATTATGTTTTATTTTTCGTCATCAGAATAACCCATTTTAATATTTTGTAATTTTTTAAATTAAAATGAGTTATTCTGATAATGGATAAATCCCATCTATTTTTAAAGGAAGGTTCGTTTCTGTCATTTCTGTCTGATTGTGTGCGAGCGAGATAGAGTTACATTGTGCGATAGGGATAGAGTGACTTTGTCCTCATACAGGGCTTTTCTCTCTCTGTTTCTCTCTCTCTGCTGTCTTCAGGAGTCCCTGGGGCTTCCCCAGCATCTTCAGGACACCAAGGGAGGGAGCGTGGGGTTCGTCATCGAACTACGACGTCACAACATATGAGAAAAAAAAACACTTTTTACTCGTAACTCGGGAATGGCTGGAAATATAAACAAATCTCCCCTTGGTTCTGCGTAGAGCACTCGGTGGGTGAAGCAGAGTGAGGGTCACAACATATGAAAGAAAAAAAAACAGTATATACTTGAACCTCGGAAATACTCGAAATATCAAAAAATCTCCCATGGTTCTGATTGGTGATTGGGTGAAAAACCTCCGAAGTACGCAGGTCTAAAAAAAAAAAATCGGGACCAACGGTGTGTGACAATATAACGAGCGTTCAAATAAAAACGTGGTCAAGTTGGTTCTGAAAATTTGGACGTAGGGCGTAGCGTATAGCAAATGAACTTAAACGTCATCTGTCAAAGCGCTATATCGCCGCTATCAATTTGAATATTTTCGTTTTAAAAAGCGTTTAAAATGGTGTTTTCTCAAGAACAAAAAGTGTTTATCATAGAGTCCTACTTTAGAAATGGACGCAAGATTGATGGAATATGGAAGTATTCTATTGAGGAATGTTTCATAGAATTTCAAAATCAATTTCCCGGCGTTGTTGAGTACAAAATTTTTCAAAGTGCCGTTCAGCGTTGTGTAAATGTTTTTCGTGAAACGGGCAGTGTAACAAGAAAAGGAAGCGGACGCCCTAAAAAGCGGACTGAAGAATTAAAAGAGAATGTCCAACAAATAATGGAAAATGCGCCAGGAACTTCTGTACGTGTTTTATCACAAATGGTGGGAGTATCAGTCGGTACCTGCCACACAGTGTTAAAAAAAGATTTGCGTTTGTTCTCCTATCGTTTAACTTGTCAGCAAGAACTTCATGAAGTTGATTTTCCGCGACGGGCTGTATTTTGTGAATGGTGTTTAAACAACTACGGTGAACTTCATAATATCACCTTTTTTTCTGATGAAGCCTGGTTTCATTTAAGTGGTTACGTAAACTCACAGAATATGAGAATGTGGTCTTCTGAAAAACCAGATAACTTTTTTGTCGAGGGCCCTCTACACGCTCAAAAAATTGGAGTTTGGTGTGCTCTCAATCGAAGGAGGATTTATGGATTTATTTTTTTTAATGGTACTCTTACTGCGCAAAGGTATAGAGAAGAAATTATCGCTCCTTTTGTTAACCAGCTGGAAGAAAACGAAATTACAAACTTTTACTTTCAACAAGATGGCGCAAGGGCACATACGGCAGGCGAGACGATGAATATGTTGAAGGAAGTTTTCCAAAATCGACTAATAAGTCTCAATGCTGAACATGAATTTCCACCGAGGTCATGTGATATTACGCCGTGTGATTTCTTTTTGTGGTCTTACCTTAAAAACACTATTTTTGAACTGCCTATTCCTGATTTAAACCATCTGCAGGCTCGACTTATAGACAAGATTCGTGAAATTAACAATACCCCGAGCATCTTAGAAAATGTCTTTAATTCTTTGAGGAACAGGTGTGAAAAGTGCTTGGAACAAGGGGGGGACACTTTCAGCAGCTGCTTTAATTTATTGTTATAACAAGGAGGGGGACACTTTCCGCAGCTCCTTTAATTGTTTGTTATTGTTATCACGATTATTCTTTAAAATAAAGTTATATACTTAGTCATTAACGTTATTGAAACTGACAGCTGCTATACAGCTCGTTGAGAAATGAGGTTAAGTTGGTCGCTATAAGCTACTCCCTACGTCCAATGTGTCAGAGCCAACTTCGACCACGTTTTTATTTGAACGCTCGTTAGAATAAAAAAGTGTTTATAATTTGGAAACGATGCGTTGAATTGAAAAAATAATTAAAAAATCTCCCCACACTCCTGGTTCTGATCGTTCTGCGTTGAATGGAAAAGTTTCGAAGTCCGTATGTCGAAAAACAAAAAAGTTAGTCAAAAATTGCAACAGCAGTAGCGAACGCATTATCTTATCTCTGTATTGATTGATGATTTGTTGTTTCTTTTTTAAATAAATTTCGTATTCAACTACTCCTTAAGGTTCCAGCAATTTTACATTGTGTTAACTTTTTTGAACACCTTGTGTCACAAATATGAGCACTACCAATAGCATCCATGATATGCAACACTTGTGTCAATAATTATTTTACCTATCTAAAGAAATCAACAATAAGTGAGCAGTCCCACTTAAGGATACGCAACCTGTATAACGCAATTTTTTTAAACATAGGTGTTAATATCGTATCAAATTGGAAGTCGACGCACGAATCTAAAAACATTAATTTCAAGTTTTTGAATTCTCCCATTCCAAGGTGATATAAAATAAATAATTAATTAGGCAAATTCGTAGTTTTAATAATTATAACTTGATTTATTTTATTTAGCATTTAAGGCAAATGTGATTTCCAAACACAAGATAAGTTCCTTATGTCTTTAATTACATAATTGAAAGCATTAAATTTATTTAGCAATTATTATTTGGCAACAAAGCCACCGCTGGAACTGCCGCCTATTAGCAAGTAGAAGAGTTACCACGCTAAAGTTTATAGCTGCAAGCCGGCTAAGGCGACCC